CGCTGTGGGCGTGGACTGAACCTGAAGTGAGTGTTGTTGGACCGGAGGGTGAACACAATCCAAACTACATTAGGATGGTTTCTGTTTGACCCAGACGTCTCCCCTCTCCTCCTCTCAGACCTCCTCTCCACTTCTCCAAAGCTCGCTCATGATGAGATGCCAGCTCTCCCTTGTTCCTCCATTTGTCCTCACTGTACAGCCGTCCACTCCAGATGAGTGTCAGCTATGTACCACAAAGGCGTGTTGAAGTGATGCTAATGCTCTCTTTTTTTATGACTCGGTTCTTCCTCCTTCCAGCCTGCCCAATAATCTCTCCTCCTCTCCCTCAGTCTGTCTCTCCGCCTGCTCCTAATCCGCTCCACAGCCGTGAAAACTCTCCATGAGAGACAGGTGACCCGTTCTAATGGGTGGAGGCAACCGCCCACACACACAGCGGCCCAGAGTCCAACCGATGCACACACACACACACACACACACACGCGCACAGACCTTTACCAGACCACACTGAGCCCCCCGGCCTTACTCTGTGTCAGACGCAGAAAATCTACTTCTCCAGAACCATTTTGCATGATGGGAGTCTCAAAACAGTGCATCAAAACCCTTTTCTATATTGGGTCAGACACGTAACCATTTCCTTTAAAAAATCCCTCCATTGTAATGAAACAACAAATGATAAGATTCTCTGCCTTAACAAGTGGAAAACGTAGTATTTAAACGAATCACCGCTCCTCTACTGTGTTTGTGCAAAAGCTTGGAAAGTATTTTCTGTGTTTAACTTTTACAACCTTCAGCTGATTAATGGCAGGAATTCAGAGTGGGACATTTATGTTGTCGTTCTAAGAGAGAGCACCTTTGTTTGATAAATCAAGAATATTTGTTTCGTTTTCATTCTTTTATTTTTTTTACCTAATCGAAAAGTGGAAATATCCTGAGAATGAGAGAAGCAAGCGTCACAATGAAGGCTCAAAATTGACATTCTCTCTGCTGGGTTGTCTACACTGACAGGACTTTAGTCCACACGTTGTTTTGCTTCTATACTAGTTACTCAGTGATGATACGACTAATGTCAGACGACCAGAAGGCGTTATTCATGGGTTGGAGTTGACGATAAAAGATCTTTGTCTCTTTTCTAACTCGTGTGTGGGGCATTTTGTTGTGCCGTTGCTTTAACATTGTGTATTTGTCACCCTTTGCAGAAAATACTTTATGCTAGTATGATGGTAATAGTCAGATTGCAACAAATAAACAAGACTTTGCCCTAGACATTTATATATATGGTGTTGTGGAAAACCAGATATTTTTCAGCTGTCTTTGCTTTTTAGGCAGTTAAATATACAGCATTATTCCTTTTTAATTCTAACCAGATAGCATCCGATCTTTTAGAAATGGCTTGTAAATGTTAATGTCCATATTTTGGCTCGAGACACGTTCAGTTTGGATCAGTTTAATATAATGTGCGAACCCAAAAAGGATCACTTATTCAGACTTGAAAGTCCTCTTACGATACACCGCAACCGATTTCTGTTGAACAAGGAAGTTTGGAGCCCTCTCCTCTGGGACCCTCACGCACACAGGCACTGATTCGCACTCACAAAAAGACAAAACAAGACTAGTTAGCAGCAGTGGCTGGAGCAGCGTTTCCTCCAGACCAGCTCCTCTGGCCCGGCTTCAACAGATGGCCTGACAGATCCCTGGAAAGGCCTGTACGTTGGGGTGAGGATGGTGGTGGTGGTGGTGGGAGGGGGGTTAGAGGGGGGGAGGCCGTGCACTCTCTTTGGAGGACTGAGGGGAGCGTGGGGTGGGTGTGGGGGTGGGGGGGGAGACATATGTCCACAGTCCTGGCTCCTGCTGATGGATGGTCTCTGCTGGCTGCTGTTTCTGTTTCACACACACACACACACTTTAATTAGCCTGTTTTTTTGCCACTTTTGGGGACACTGATAGCTGATTACGACGTGCCAATCAAACACGATAGGACCAAAAAATCGGCCTCCTGAACTGTTGGGACCAACTTTTGGGTTCCGAAACGAAAAACTGAACCCCAGAATGACTTTGAAAACAAATCGTGGTGCTGCTGGCAGAGCGTTTCCCCTCTCCATCTGCACCTACGAGGCCCAGGCCCCCCCTCCCACCCCCCGACAATGAGGTGACCATGTCACTGCCTGAGCCGAAACAGAGGGATAGAGGGGCACACAGTGAAACGCAAGAAGAGGGAAGGAGAGAGGGGAGGGACACATTAACAAGCTATAATCTCAACTGCCTTATCCATAATGCATTGTGTGGGCCAATTTACATGGCGCTAGTCCCTCTGGGAAAAGGAGATCATCCATCACATTACTTTATTAGCTCCCTCACAGTCTCTCACAGATGCACACACACACACACACATACGCACACACACATCATTACTTCTCTCTGCCTCTCCCTCTGTTTTGTGGGCCTGTTTTGTCATGGTTGTTGTTTCAAACTGCTGCTGCCTCTATAAAACAACTCCAAACCAAGTCGTGTTGCGCAGGCTGTGACAAGCAGGGAGATTTTTCTTCTTTTTTTTATACGGCAATAGTTTATCTCAGTATCAGTGGGAGGATTTAGGTAAATGATTGGGAGTTAACGCTGAGGTTTTGTTTCTGAGGGCGAATTCACTTTGTGAGATAAACAAGTAAAACTCGAAACAAATAGAAACAAACGCCAATCATTGCTGAGGCCTCTTTTACAAAACTCCATAGAAAATCTGCACATTAATGCATCATAGTGACTCTCTGCTCCTGAACCGGTCCATTAAGGCACGATGCGACATGAGTTATTCAGTTTAGTAATTTAAAAAATACCTCATGTATGTTACTGCATAAAGGAAATAAAGCAAAAGTGAATGGAAAAGCAGAAACCAAGCTAAAGAGACACTTTTTAAATGCTCCTAATTAATCTTTATGTATAAAAAATCAAATTATAAAAAATAAATTGAATATAATTTTAGGTTATAGTTGTTTCTGTGTGGAAAACTGATGGCGATCTGCTGATATCACTGCTGCATTGAAACCAGCTGTGCGATTGTGGCTTCTTTTTCCTGCTTTTGTCTTCAAGGTCCCATTAATATTACTTTCTTTTTTATTTCTCCGGATTCTAAACATCCTTGTTTCCAAACAAAATCTCCCTGAACATGTCTCATTCTGGCAATAAGACTAAAATCACTTTTGGCAGTCAGTCTCAGACTAATTTAAAAAAATATTTTAACAGAAGTCTCTTTTAGGAATAGAGAGCACAGACACTCACATTTAATTTAAACTGACTACAAACATTTCTTTGATTGATTTTGGCTATTGAGTGTTTTTGAATGTATTGCATTGCGCGGAAGGTGGAGTGCGGATGGAATAAGAGTTCATAGAGTTTGGAAATTGGTGCCTTATTTAAGTTAATTTAACAGTAAACAGATGGTGCACGAGTCAAGTTACAGGACAGAGGCCAGTGGGTCAGTTACCCTTTTCTTGATCTGTTTTGCTCAGTTATGACTAGCTGTATGGGCTGTTTAACACCCAGGATTGTGAACAGTTTCACATCACAGAATATTTGGAGTGTCAAACTTACTAAAAAAACAATAATACAAAACAGCTCCCGGAAACACCGAATAATTCATGTTTAAGTCGGTTGTACAATATCGAATAATTCCCGAAGCACCCTTAAAGCATTGATTTTTACTCCTTCAGAGGAACAGGTAGAATCCAATAGACATCAGTCTGGTAATGAAAAAGGGATAAAGCTAAAACAGCCACAGACAGACCTGTAGATTGGTGTGGACTGTATGTCAGCTTGTTCTTTTTTTTCAAACTTTTGTGGGGGAAATGTAGCTCTTCCAATCTTCCATAGACTTTATCCCCCACATGTCTATATTTTCATTGATTTCATTTTTGAATACTCAACCACTGACTAACATCAGGACTAAATGTGTGAGGGAGTTAAGCTCACTGGACCTGGTCAGTATACTTTGACATGAGCCACCACTTTTGCTCATGAGGCCTGTTCGTGTTTGGACACTCTGAAATCTTTCGTGTGTGAGAGAAATTGAATGTTTGCACTTTGTCCACACACGCTCACATGCGCGCGCGAGCCCAGACAGGGACGGCCGCAGATCCATCAGACCTCGCAGTCATCTTGTGAATAAAAAGAGCTGTAATTGCAATCATATACGTGGAGCTCCGGCTCCGTGCGCCACGGCGTGCCATTAGTATCACAAATAAGTAATAATTCGCTAATGACAACATTATGTTGAGTCAGTTTAGGGCCAATTAAAGTGAGTGATATTTACATATGCCTAATGAATCACTGAGCTTGGCAGTTCGGGCGGACCCTCATGAATATTCATCCAGGCATTTCTCCCTTTCGAGCTGCAGTTTATAAACTGAATTATGGCTGATTTGCCCTTTTAAAAAATGAACATGGGCGCATCTCCCACAAGGAGGCGGTGAACAATAACGTCTGATTATAAAAATGCTTTACTGCTGAACTGCTGGTGAGGAGACGGCGGCAGGGTGGCAGCAGAAGAAGGAGGGCCCCGCTCGTCCTCCACCAGCGTGGACTGACATCCATAATCGCACATGGTCCCACAGAAGCGTGCAGAGGGAGCGGGGAGGCGCTCGGTTTGGGCTGGAGGTAGTTCATCTTCACTTCGGGTCATTCTTTAAGCGGTTTGCTGCTCTTCTCCTGGCGCAGCAGGCCCTGACTTCTCCGTGTTTGGCCTCCCTGATGCGGAACAAACAGGCGGCTTCAGTTTGTGGCCCATATTGTGTCTAATAACATGGGACCCCAGATTTATTTATCATGGAAATAAGCATATGTATGTATGTATGTATGTATGTATGTATGTATGTATGTATGTAT